TCTTTCCACCCCCTAACACCAGGGGCTCCCCAACTTGTCTATGCCTTGAAATCACCTGGGCGGCTTCAAAAAATACCAACACTGTGATCCTGACGACAGACTGTGATTCGGAAGATCCCTGAGGTCCTAGTGTGCAGGCAAGTCTGGGGACCACCGCCCGGTGCCTTTTTTCCTCCTACCACCCGGTTAAGACACCTGCTTTGAAGCAGCCTGGCAATCACGGCACTGCAGCAACAGGATCCCGGGACAGTAGCAGCGCAATAAAGCAGCAAACGGAGCCAAACTTAATCATGAACCCTCTGGCAATTCCTCCCTTTTCACTGTCCCCCGGTTCTGAGCTTGCCATCAAGGTCTCACAGGTCCAGAAGTCCACCCAGCTGCAGCCGGGCTCTGCTAAGAAAAAGCAGAGCCTGGGGAGGGGGTGTGAGTGACCCAGGCTGTGGCCAAAAGCTGCGCGGGAGCCTGGCCCTCACCTGGCCACCTCCCACTTCGCAGGCCAGCCCTGTTCTGCCTCAGTGACAGGATGCATGAGGCGGCAGGCCTTCTAGTCTGGCCGGCAGAGCAGCCCCAATTTGCGCCAGAGACTTTTAATGCTGTCACCCTGCATTCAACCCCTGCCTGACTGCCCCATTCTTTCCAAGACAATAGGGGTTTTAACAGTGAGCCCTTCTCCAGGTTGAGTGCATGACCTCAAGCATCGCAGCAGAGGCGGCAGACCCCATGACTGGTCTTCACCAGGGAGTGGCTGTGCACCAGGTGAGCTGGCCTGGGCCCGAGTCACCAGGCTGGCATTAAGGAATAGGTGGATTGGGTCCTTAGAGATTCAGTCACTTCTCACAGTGGCCTGGACAGAAGGCGAGTGGGTAAATAAGGGGCTTTTGCTCATGGACACAGGTGCTAGTCTGCCTGACTCCCCCATAGCCCACTTGGATGAACTCAGTCCACTCCCGCTCTCCTCCCCATGACATTAGAGACTCCAGAGAAACCACAAGCTGCTTGTTCCCAGGCACGGGAAGGAGAAATTATAAACACAGCAATGGGCACCCAGGCCCAGATTCCCAGTTTGCCATCACCGTTCCCAGCCAGGTCACAAACGCAGCTGAATAACTTTTGGTAACAACAGGATAGAACCATCTTTCCTAAGCTACTTGGTTTGAGCCCAAGATGACCATGGACCCAGCCAGGGTGGCATTTTCAGATTCTATAGGTGTTTTTGAAGACCCTCCCGCGAGGCTCTAATAGATGCCAGTGGGGATGAAAGAAAAGGAAAGAATGGTTCCTGAAAAGGATGCTGATCTCAGGATACTCCCGTCACCCAGAAGTAGAAGCTATACATGGATCTGAAGACCTTAGCGAAGGAGCTGGCCTCCCTTGGATTGGTTAAGATGGTATCTCTCCAATAAGTACTCTCAAGTCCCTCCCCTGGACACACCAGTACCATGTCTCCATTGCCTCCCGCTTCCCTTCTTGACATCCACTGTGGCACCTCTTTTGAACTTTAAAAGACTACAAATGATTGCTGGCCTCCAATCTCTGCCCTAAGTGGGGAGGTCCGTATGCCTAAGACCCAATCAGCTCCAGACATCAATACATAAAGCAGGGGGCTGGAGGATGGGCCTGCAGCTCAATAATCTAGAACTCGCAAGTGGGACGGTGTTCCTTCAACCTCCCCCCAAACCAGGACATCAGACCCGCCAAGTGAAAGCCCCTCCTCCCCAAAACTCCAGATGGAGGCTGCCAAGATGACAGCTTCAAACACATGCTTTTAATTACCAGTGATACAGTGAAAGCTCTGGGAGCAAATCCTTTCCCTTTCCACCACCGAGCTAAACCTAGAAGCTTCCCATCTATATGAGACTCCTCCAAGGTGGGTATTCCTGGATCAGGACACATGCCAGCAACAAAGGCCTGTTCTGTACGCTTTTTAAAAAGCACCATACCCAGATCACAATTCAAAACCAATCCACAAACACTTCTCAGCCCCAAAGAGCATATCCTCATGGAGAAATTGTCTCGAGGGTCACTGACCCCATGTGAGACGGACCCAGGCCTCTCCCAGAGCCTGCCTGTGGGCATCTGCCTGCTCGTGTGTCTGCATGGGATCGTCTATCTGTACGTCTGCAGCATGCATACGCACGCACGCGTACACACACACACACACACAAAACCATGCACCGAGCAATCCATCTGTCTCGGAGAGCCGGCTGTCAGAAATGAAAGTACAATCTCCTGGAACCGAGTCACAGCCTTCTAAAAATGTGCCGTTTTCCCAGACTGAGGAAACTTGCAGGGGTGGGGTATGTTTCACTGCGAGTCCCAAAGGCCTGGGCCTGTCGTCTCACCGGCCAGACCCGAGCTGCAAGGCTGGAATTCCAACCTGCAGCCAGCGGGCCGGCTCCCAGCCCACTCCCCTTCCTCGCAGGAAAGGGAAGGGCCAGCCTTGGAGTCACCCCGGCATCTCAGGAGGGGCGTGCCTTTGCACACACCCCCACCCCCACCTCCGAGACACCACATTTTCACATTGGGCTGTTTTCTCTTTCCCTTCTTCCCTTGCCAAGAGAATCAAGCCCTGGCTCCCGCTGCCGACCTTCCTCCCACCCTAAACTGAGCCCCATTCATTAAGCCTGCTCTCAGCCAGGGCAGGACAGGAAGGAAAACAGCACACAGGGCCTGTGAAAGAGACACTCACAGAGGTGATTTCAAGGGGGAGGTGGGGGCAGATCCTTGTGGGCGTTTTCCCCGCCCCCCACATCCCCCACTTCGATGCCCGCTTGGCCCTGCCTTCCCCACAGCAGGCTCCTCACCAAAGCCCCCCATTGGCCTCATCTTCTGCAAGGCGGACACACCCAGGCCACCCTCTCCCCATCCCCATGGAAAGATCAACTTCTTGGAAACGAGGAGGTTCAGGATTTATCCCTTTGCAAAACTCTCTGCCCTGGCCCCAGGCCACTACAATCATTTGGGGCGGGGGGAGCATCCTCACTGCAAAGGGTGGAGACCTGGGTTTTCTCAGCGCCCCAATGCCCCCTCTCCAGATACCCCCCAAACCACTGGCACCAACCCAAGAAGCAGTTTTTTCTATTTCCCCCCACAGCACATTATTAATAAACTGCTCCAACTCCGAACGGAAAGAAGAAAGAGCTCAAACTTTGAAGCCTTGGGAATTAGTAAATCAAGAACTAAAATTCAAAACAAATGCTCTTTCATGTGGAGCCCCCCCCTCCTTTTTTTTTCTTTTTGCAGTTTTGTTCAACTACATGATCCCTTCAGAGACAAGCACTCCTTCCACCAGCTCCTCATTCATTGAAGTGGCTGCAGGTACTCTGGGGCTGGGGGGAGGAGTTAATCATTGCTTGACCCCCAGTTTCTTTCTCCGACTGGAGAAACTCTTAGAAGCCCACCCATCTCAGAAGGGGCTGCAGGGTTACACTGTTAAGGTCACAGTGTTCAGCTCCCGGGCGGGTAAGGAGGCTGGTGGCTGGCCGGGTGTCGTCACTTCCTCCAGCAAAGGAGACAGACAAGATGTTATCAACAAGACAAACCTTCCGAAAAGCCCCCTTTCAAAAGCTACCGCTTCCCTTGCTTATTTCATGTGGTTCGCAGGGGCCGGGACTCCTCCCTGCACACTCGGGATTTAAAAAATAAAACCGTCTAACAACATCCTGAGTGTGCTATTTTGCCCACACCCTTTCCTCTCCTTGGTCTTCTTTCTTTCCGGAACTCTCTCAGCCTTAGAAAGCAGAAACCCTCCAGCTCTTCACGCCCCGTGTGTTCCTCCCTCCTCCACTGCCGTGGCCCACCCTCCTCCTAACGCCCCAAGCCCCCTGCCCTCGCTGGGTCCTTCTTTTTTCCTGCTCAGCTCTCATTAGGAGCATTGAGTAAACAATACCTCTGTCTCAGATAACAGCCAGAGCATATACTGCGCTGAAATAAAAACAAACAAGGGTCTCCCTGCAGACATTCTCAGCAAGCTCAATTCCTGGAGAGGGAACAGGCTGGGATGACTAACAGAGCAACACCTGACCAGTCTGAGGTCACCTCACAAAAGAGGGTGCACCACAGTCCCCTGAAGAGTTTTATGGCTTCCATCCAAGCTGCCATGATGCCACACCAACGTCCCAGGGGCAAATGCCCAGAACTCTGCAGGATTTTCTTTTTTATTTCCCCCCAGGTTACTTTCCCTCTTGCTTTAGCTAGTTCTTAGAAAATCCAGTGATTGGCACACTGGGGTAGGAAAAACAGGTGGAAACAAGACATCTTTAGAACAAAATGGAAATGCCTCCCATTTACATTGCTAATGAGTTTCTCCAAGTTTATCACTCTCCTCTCCTGTCCCTCAGGGACAATGAGGCTTGAGCTACCCACTGCCCCTCATCCAATCCCATAACCCTCCAGCCCAGCCATGCCAGGCCCTCGCTCACAGCCGTGGGCCCTGAGGAAAACCTTCCCTGCTGGGTAGCAGTGGTGGGGCCTACTATGTGCAGCGTCCCAGCCCGGGAACTCCCATTGCCTGACATGCATTGCAGACGCTGGACCGAGAATTAGGACTTGCAGAGAAGCACCAAGGACGTCTGTGCTAAACTTCCATCATACACTTGGGATCTGTCTTCAACAAGTTCCCAAAAGGTAGATCCATCCCCTTAAGGCACCCGATGCACTGTGGGCAAGAGCTTAAACCATGAACTGATGACATCAAAGTCACCAAGGGAACCCCCTCAAGCCAGGAACCACTTAACAAATAACCAGGAAACGGGGCTCAAGGGCAGCCCCCACACCCCCATCCCTGCTGGCCTGTATTTCCACATCTACAGGGCAGGCCTGGCAGGGACGGCAGAATGATGAGCTCAAGGGCACTACAGTCACCACAGATGCACCCAGTTTAACGCACATAAAAGTGGGAATTAATTCCAGACCAGCTAGGGTGACGGAAGGCCACCTCCAGTCTCCAGTAATTTTAGGAGGTCTTGAAATTGCCAGGAAAGTAAGAGAAAGCATCTCACCTGAAAGCCCCCCAGGGGCCAGATAATTCGTTCCCCCTGTTTCAGCGGAGGAAGGCACAGCATCCGGACAGGCTGCTGCAGATCGGGAAAGGAGAGAGAAATGCAACACAAATAAGTAAACAGAAGCACCAAGATTAACTTGTAAGCACATTCTGAACAGCATTAAAGAGAAACCACACATTCCAAACGGCCGACTCCCAGCCGCGATGCTGACTATGAGTGGTCTGCTCAGGCTTCGCTACCCATCACGAGACAGACCACAGCACCTTGTCACCCGTCTGGGCTCCGGGCCGCCAGTTCATCATTAGTCAAGTCAGACTCGATCACAGACTGGCTGGAATTTCTTTGATTGCAAATCCTCCATTGAGGAAACCAGGTAGTTTCCAAGGTCAAAGAAGGCCGGGTTCTTCTCTCCACCTTGGCTGCTGTCTCCCCACCATCTTTCCCAAAGAAAGATCCAGGGCACGGACTCTGCTTGGATCCAGTGGCCTCGCTGACATTCCCACAGACCAGTGTCTCCCTCTCATTTTTTTAGACAGATTTCCTAGTTCGTCAGGACTTTCTTAAAACTGGCATTAGGCTAAAAGGACTGCTTTTTTGTTCTTAACTGAGGTCTTGTAAGTATAGCAAAGCACACAAATCTCATGTACAATTCAATGAATTATACTCTTGTATACACCTGTGTGAAGCCTCTGCCACGTCAGGACAACAGAGAACATTCTCAGCAAGGGTCCTAGCTGGAAGAGAAATGTTCTTCCTCCTTCCAGGCCTAATCCAAACTCCCCACCTCTGGAAATCTTCCCTGGCAACCCCAGACCTGCGAGGTTCCCTGCCCTCAGTTCCTATAAAATCCTTCTGGCGCCCAGCACTGGGAGTTTCCTTCTGCGGTCTTTACAGATCTTTGACCTTCAGATCCTGCCTGCCTGAACTAGACTATAACCTTCTCTTGAACATCTTTGTCACCTCAGGTGCTCAGCAGTGACCTAAATGTTAATGAGGATAATGTCAATTCCAGCTGAGAAACAGACTCGACAACCTCCCTCCAAGCAATTAAAACAATAACGCCCACGAACCACAACTAATTAGTCCCAGAAAACAAAAATACACAAGACCCCGTAAGCATATCACGCACCACTGCCAACGCCAAACTTACTGAAATCCATAGAGAAAGGCCAGCTCAGGAAAGGGGTTTCCCAGCTCCGAACCAAAAACACCAGGGTGGATGGTGCAAATTCCAGTCCTTCCACCCCGGGCCACTAGCAGGATGTCCCTGGGGTGTGCATTACCAGTTTCCCACTGGAACCGCTTGGCCGAGATGGCAAATATGGAGCCAAGGGAAAGAGCGGCCCAGAGGCAAGCAGCCACGGGAGCGCTCTAGTAGCCCAGCAGCTGTTTCTGTTTCAAGGTGAAGGGCAGAGGTGGGCTGGCCCCTTCAACTCTGAGTTTCTCCCTCCAATCTCTCCTGCATCCTCTCTCAGGCTAGAAGAACAGCTTTCCAAGAGTTCTTCTAAACAGAGGAGGGGGAAGCGGAGGAGTGGCAGGGGAGAGAGAAAAGACTGTGTGTGTAATCTCATTTTATCAGAGTAAAGTATTATTCCTAACAGGAATATACAGTTTTACAGGATACACTTAATCACATGGAAAACAATAGGGGCAGGCAGGAAACAGAGTTGCTGGTTAGAGAGTATGCCCTGCACTTTCTAAACGGCTCTGGTGGCCTTCAGCATGCTCTAGAGATAGGCTTCAACCTACCCCCAAACGGAAGGCAGCCCCACATTAAATATGACTTACCCATGGCCACTCCTCACCCCCTCACCCCCTGCCACGCCCCCGCCCCATCCTCCCAGCTTTGGCTGTCTGGATCCCAGGGGCAAGGTGTGTTTCAAAGGAAGAGCCCGGCATCTCAGGGCAGAGCTGGGACCACATTCAGGGTGTCAGCCTGTCTCAGATCAAAGGTAAGCCAGCTCCACACCAGCAACCACAAGCGTTTCTATGAAATGGTGCTCTGCCCTTCGTGCAGCGCCTTTGATCTCGGGATTTACAAACATTAATTAGGACTTCCTACCACCCCTGTGAAGTAGGAAGGTATACCTGTTCGACATACACCCAGGGAAACTGAGGCGTCACTGAGTAGGCCAAGGGGCCACCCAGTGAGCTGATCATACCCAGCACCTACCCCGTGCCTCCCCCTCCCCAGGCAGGCCAGCGTCCTCACTCTTCCCTGTACACAGTCGGGCTGAGACAGCCTTCAGCATCCAGACTAGCCTCAAGCTCCTGCCAGGCTGGTAAAGGTCAGAGGCCACACCTCCACCTCTCACCCACAAGAAAGCTCCTGGAGGTGGCTCTCTAAAGCTAGGGTCTCAGCTTCTCCCATGTCGTCTGCTCCCCGGGGCCCAGGCTGGCACACACTCAAGCTCTAGGCCACTTCTGGCTCTTCTCCACCACTAACCACCACCAAGCACCCAGGAAATGCTGGGTTCTGTGGGAGAAGGCCTCATTCCCCTCTCCCAGCAGCAAGAGAGACCTTGAAGACGCACGCCTGGGAGCGCCAAGGAATGAGTGCTGTGAGGGGACAAGGAAAGGGAGTTGGGGGTCCCACTTCTCTCATTCAGAGCCTGGTTCTCAGAGAGTCACCCTATTCTTGTCAACTTAGTTCTGAACTTCCTAAGTCCTGTCTGGGACAGAAGAACCCAACCCTCACCCCACCCCCACCACTGTACCCCAGTGTCCCAGCTCTGCTCCAGTTCACAACCCTGGTTACAGAAGAACAATCCAATGCAATGAAATCACATTTTTAGGCCACAGCATCAGGCCTATAAAATGAATGAATGAATGAACCAATAAATGAGTGAATGAATGAATCATCTAACTCTTCGATCATAGGAGTTTAAAAAGAGGCCTGGAAAAGTTAAGAGTGGCCTGAGTTAAGAGGTAAATGCAGGGCTAGGTCCCAGACTTCTCAACTCAGGCTTTGGAGGCTTGATCTGCCAATGGGCTCTGATCACTGATCACCTGCATCCCTAGCCTAAGGGAACAGGGTACCAGCAACATCCCCCTGCCCCCAGTCATTCTTCAAACCTTTCAGACCATCAGATACAGAGGACACAGGAAGCAGAGCCCACAGAGCACTCCCTCCCAACATCCCCACCCCATAAGCTGAGATCTCATTCTAAAAGCCTGCTCTTACTCCTTGTATGATGGGGAAGGAAGGTGGGGGGGTCTGCCTGACTTCTGATAGGCCCAAGTCACAGCCACCCTGCTCCTACACTCAGCCACATCTAACAATCCTCCTTTCCCAGAGTGAAGTCCTGCTGACTTTGAACCACCTAGCACCCGGGTCTACAAAAGTCCAGCATCCCAGAGGCTGCCACATAATGACTTATATTATAGCAAAATGGAGTTCCCGACTTTCAGCCCTGGCTCTCCTTCAAACGCTTCAGGGGGACCAAGCCCCAGTCCCTTCCCACCACCTCTTCCCAAGCTGGAGACTTCACTGAAAAGATCTCCTCAGTTGTGCAACTGGTTATGATTTTAATAGTTGTCCACTGTAAACCTTACGGCTGGTTCTCACCTAATAACCCAAGACCAAAAATTCAACCTAAGGCTTAGAAACTGAAGAATCTAAGTGGCTGATCTAAATTCCCTAGCCAAATGGTCTCCCCTGTACAAGGCGAGGATAAAAACCTGGGGCAGCATCTCATCTGTGTGTCTGACCTCAACGCCCCCGGCCACAGCAGCCAACAAAACCGGCCCCAGCCCTGGCTGCCCTCCAACGTGTCCGGAGATCCCTACTGAGGGGGCTTCGCCTGTTAGCACCGGGCATACTTACACAAGGGTGGTGCTTTCATTCTTTTTTTTATTTGGGGGTTTTGGGGTTTTTTGACTTGTCTTGGTTTTTTTTGTTTTACACAAAATGTTTTGGGTGAATAACCAGCTGTTTGAGTTTCCGATTGGCAGGTTAATCACTTCCTATTGGCTGATCTGGAGAACTTTTCTCCCCCTTGAAAATGGCACATTCCTGTCTTTGTGGCTTCTCTGTTTACACACATTTTGCTACCTAATGTCAACACTTGCTAATGAATAAATATATCACTCCACTCACTGAAAATGAGGTCCTGGCCTGAGAGGGTGGCTGCTTGAATCCAGGGAACAGATTTGTCCCGCTATCTCTGCAGGAAACCCAAGAGAATGTGGTCCTTCTTTCCTATGGTTTTAGGAAGTTTCTCGAAACATCTCCACCTAATCGTCTTTGCCCCCGGGGCCAAGGTGACTGGACTCTATCTTTCTCTCTCTTTTAAGGAAAAACCACCAAATTTGAAGACTATGGAAGGAAAAACAAAAACAGGACAGAGAGAGTCCCTTGGAGAACTAAGCTCTTAAAAGAATTCTTGAGTCTTGAAGCCAAAAACCCAGTCGAGTTACATTCTTTGAGAAAACAGAGCTTGTTAATTTCAGTTAACATTTGTTACAAATACAGAGCTGGTTATCTCCTCATTAATGACTATTTATCTGGTGTTTTGCAAATCGAAAGCAAAATATCCCATGCTTTGCAGGCCACTTATTAGACAGGCACCAGGCAAGCAGCAACGCCTTTCGACTTGAGGGAGCGTGGAGTCGGGGAGGGCTGGCTGGAGAGCATGGGCTTGGGTTACACCATTCATTAAAGTATTTAATTTACGACAACGCCCCAGCAAAACTTTTAATTAGTGGGGGGGGAAAGCCGAACAGCCCAAGCTCATGAGGCGGAAGGACCTGTAGAATTCCAAGAGCAAAATGGGGCCCAACCGTTCACTTTTCCTTCTCCCAGAAACTTTGGAAAAATAATAAAAATGTTGCATTTTTCAGGGACCAGTACAGACCCAAATCACAATCCATACTTTCAAGCAAAGGAACCTCCCACTGTAAGAAGGGGCTCCAGGACACAGGGGACCATCCCAGTGGTCACCCTCAAGTCCCAGTTTTGCGGACTCTCTTTCCCTGGCACTGTTGGCCCCTGCACTGCCAGCCAGAAGTTGAAGGCAGACAACCACAATAGGGCTGGTGCCAGTCTCAGGTGGGGCTTCTGCCCTGGCCCCATGCCATCCAGTGACAAAGCAAAGGGCAGGCAGAGCTAAGCTAAACACTTTCATAGACCCCACTAGGAATTCTGAGAAAACCGGGCAGGGGCTGTTGCCCTAACTTAGCAAATTTTCTCATCTTCTTACTCCAAAGCAAGGTCTTCTCTACAGCTTGTAAAAACTATCCTTCCTTCTATCCAGTTGATCCATTCTTCCCACTGATTGTTCTGGCACTCACGAAATCCCCGAAGCTTCCCAACAACCTGTCCTATTTGGCTCCCAAGACACTTCTGCGTGGATCAAATTCCACGTGTTAAAGCTGAGCCAACTTGGGTTACAGAAAAAAGGAACAAGATGTAAAGCATATCTAGGAAACACCTTTGTAAAAAATATATATATGTATACATATACACATATATACATACATACACACACACACATATCTCAGCTTCAGTCACAACAAAAACAGGAAAAAAAATCCACCAAACTTCCAACAGGGGAAACCTATAACCACCTCGGGGCAAGTGTCTCCCCAAGCCGCTGCCTAGATACAAAAATCCGCCTTTTAGACACTCCATTTCTAACTTAAGATAGGAAGGGTATTTTTAAAATCATCTACTCACCAGTTGGTTTGAGAAAATCCATCGGGTATCTGGAGTAAGGAGGAGGGGGAGACTCTGGAATTAAAAAAGAAAGAGAAAATAAAGGACGAGCCAAGAGAAAGAGAGATAGAAACTTATGATAACAGAGGCATTCTTTTAGCCCAACTGTTTGTCTTAGCTGTGGGGGTTGGAGGCAGGGCCGCGAGGCGGTGATTGCCTTGATATTTAGCTGTCAGATAAACAAAAGAGGCCGCCTGGCGCCAGCCTCGGCGCTCCGCTCCTCCACGTCTGCGGCCGCCGCCGCCGCGCTCAGCCGGCCCGGCTGGAAACCACCGGCTCGGCC